AAATTTGTGAAAAAAATTTCTATTGTAAAAGTTTATAATTTTTTTGTACAATTTTCAATGTTATTGAAAAAATATATCATGTATGCAAATGTTGCGATAATCTTTTACACATTAGTCATGGGTGAAATAAATGTATTTTTGTAGGATGGTACAGAGGGGAAAAGAGAGCCATGATGTTCACTATCCCAAGAATTTGGCGGGAACCCACTGACCACTCAAGCAACTGCTCCTCCTGCATGGTGGACCCTTCCAAACGTCGGACTGGCAAGAATGCACCTGCTATCCATCGCCCCGGTGCCACACTGCCATGAGCTCCCCGCACCCACTCCGGCGGAGAGAGAGCAGCCGTCTTTAGAAGAGAGCAGCAAGTCAAAGAGCGAGGAAGACGTAATTCCAGATTTCAGAGGTGGAGCTGAGGAAGAGAAACCCATACTACACCTCAGAGGATTACAACAGCATCAAGACCTTGCTAGACGCCTTGAAGTATGATGAGTATGGCTGGGAGGTCATCGGAGACTTCAAAATGGTGACATTCCTGATGGGTCTCCAAGGCGGTTTTACCAAGTTTCCCTGATATTTTTGCCCTTTGGGACAGCAGGGACACCAAGGCGCACTACCACAGGTGGGACTGGCCACAGCGGACTGAGTTCTCTGTGGGGAGGAACAACGTCAAGTGGAAGCCACTGGTGGACCCCCGGAAGATGCTGATGCCACCACTGCACATCAATTGAGCCTTGTTAAACAATTTGTCAGAGCTGTAGATAAGGAGTCGGCAGCCTTCAAGTACCTTCAAGACTTCTTCCCCTAGCTGTCTGAGGCAAAGGTCAAAGCCGGTGTCTTTGTCGGACCACAGATGAAGAAGATCCTGGAGTGCAATGAATTCCCCAAGAAGCTCACTCGTAAGGAGAAAACGGCTTGGGACAGCTTTATCGCAGTGGTTCGTGGTTTCCTGGGCAATCACAAGGTCGAAGACTATGTGGAGCTGGTTGAGACTGGTGAAGACCTACGGCACAATGGGCTGTAGGATGTCCCTCAAAGTCCATATCCTTGATGCTCATCTTGATAAATTCAAGAACATGCGAGCGTACTCGGAGGAGCAAGGCGAGTGCTTCCACCAGGATATACTGGACTTTGAACGCCACTACCAAGGACAGTATAACGAGAACATGATGGGAGACTACATTTGGGGGCTGATTCGTGAAAGTGATTTACAGTATAATCGTAAATCTCGAAAAACTACTCACTTCCAAATCTTTTGTAGTAATTTTTGTATTTCTTTCGTATAAATACATGTTTATTTTGATTAATGTTTTTTTTCTGACTTTACGTGAACGAAAAGACACAAATGCACCCGTTTTCTCAGTGAAAATAGGTACATTTCAAAATATCACTGTCCTGGTCACGAAAGCAAAGTTTGTGGGGAATAATAGCCATTGTCTGTACTTTTTAGGCATAAGAAATTATGAAATAACACTTACTACCCAGGAACAAAAATTGTGTTACATAGTGTAACTTAAGGATCTCTGTGTGAGTCTATGGGTCTCTGTGTGAGTCTATGGGTCTCTGTGTGTATCTATGGGTCTCTGTGTGTGTCTATGGGTCTCTGTGCGAGTCTATGCAACGTATGTTAAACTTTTTAGCAACGTACATGGCCAACCACGGCTAATCGGAGGTGCGGCGGAAGGACACCAAACTAAACGCACAAAAAAGCATTTCATGATATCATCATCAGCATCATCATCATCATTCGAACTGTCCAGGAAGGTGCGTGCGGAATTGGGCAGAACGGGACGGGATGATGGATGGCGGCCGATGAGATAAAGTTGTCATTGGGCAACATTCATTTACAAAGGGCCAGAACTACCCAAAGATCTGCTGCACTTTATCTACCACATTGATTAACACCATTACAAAATCATAAAGGGAAGAGAAAAATCTGCGACGCGCCGTCCCGAGCGTTTGTTGACGATTCCAAGATTCCGTGCGCAACTTGATTCAGCAGCGTTCTAAGTCGATCTGGCGCTACATAGTTTTAAAATCAACCCCCGTCTCTCATTCTCTGGTGATCACCAACTCCTGCGCTATCTATCTCTGCACTCACTTTAAAACGGACATTGTTGCGGTGGAAACAATACAAATGCGAATGTACGCAATAGTTGTTTTGTGCAAGATCGTTTGGTTTAAACTACGTTATTTACATGGTTTTTTTACAGATCGTGTTTGTTTGCTCATTTGTAAATATTGCCGCCGTGTCGATCTGCTGGTCGAGTCGCCCTCGGACAAGAGAGCTGCATCAAGCTCGATGGGCGATTTACTCGGATAAAGAACTTCAGATTCTGGATGGATGGTGGGCGATGGGAGGGATGGATGGTGAGCGATGGATGGTGAGCGATGGGAGGGATGGATGGTGAGCGATGGATGGTGAGCGATGGGAGGGATGGATGGTGAGCGATGGGAGGGATGGATGGTGAGCGATGGGAGGGATGGATGGTGAGCGATGGATGGTGAGCGATGGGAGGGAGGGATGGATGGGTGGGATGGATGGTGAGGGATTGGAGGGATGGGAGGGATGGATGGTGAGGGATGGATGGTGAGGGATGGGAGGGATGGATGGTGAGGGATGGGAGGGATGGATGGTGAGGGATGGGAGGGATTGTGATCGATGGGAGGGATGGATGGTGAGCGATGGTCAAGGATGGAGACGGAGTGGCAGCCAAGGAATGGAACGCGCCTCGAGATGGATCGTCGCCTCGCAGAGATCGTGAGAGGAGGCGGCGGCGGCAGCTTCGGGTCGAGGCCTTCATCCAGCAGTGGATCGAGCACCGCCGATGACGACGTTCACGACACACGTGAGACGCGGTGGGGGGCGGGGGGGTCAAGGCAACATCCGCGTAGACCTCGACAAGCGGCTCAATTTACTCACCCGGGTGTTGAGACGAGTCGTGGCTCGCTGTTAGTTTTCATTTAAAACCCACCCCACCATGTGGTTCCCCGGGGGGGAGCGGTGGCGCAGCGGTTAGCGCAGCGCCGGGGTTCCTCAGGGTAGGGGGAGCGGTGGCGCAGCGGTTAGCGCAGCGCCGGGGTTCCCCCGGGGGGGGAGCGGTGGCGCAGCGGTTAGCGCGGTGTCGGGGTTCCCCAGGGGGGGGGGAGCGGTGGCGCAGCGGTTAGCGCGGCGCCGGGGTTCCTCGGGGGGGGGGGAGCGGTGGCGCAGCGGTTAGCGCGGTGTCGTGGTTCCTCGGGGGGGGGGGGAGCGGTGGCGCAGCGGTTAGCGCGGCGCCGGGGTTCCTCTGGGGAAGGGGGAGCGGTGGCGCAGCGGTTAGCGCGGCGTCGGGGTTCCCCGGGAGGGGGGGGAGCGGTGGCGCAGCGGTTAGCGCAGCGCGCTCCGAAACGCGGCCCAGGTGCCGACATCGGCGGCGTCGGAGCTGTGCCGGAGCGAGCGAGCGAGGACGACGACTTTCGTCCGGCGAAGTGACATTGAACCGAGCGCCGTGGAACAAACAACAAGAAGAAGAGGAGGAGGAGAGGAATACGTGAACGAGACGGCCTTACCCCTTCTTCGTGCGTCCTTTATTGACGCAGCTGCTGCTGCTGCTGACACGGGGATCGGTCGGTCCGTCGAGCCGTCACCAAAGACGGCCGAGTCGGGCAATAACGAAGCAGCCGACTCGAATCAC